CTCTCTCTCTCTCTCTCTCTCTCTCTCTCTGTCTCTCTCTTCTATTTCTTTCTCCCCTCTCCTTCCTAGTTTCCGCCACGTTTCTCCAGCTACGCCAGCGCAGCGTTTCTCGTTCTCCTCCGACCAACACGTTACGTCCATCCGCTTTGTCCTCGCAGTTTCACCTTTAACTCTTCTCTTCCCTAAAAAACTAAAAAAAAAAAAAAGAAAAAAACTACTCGAGTCCGTCCTCTCCTCTCTCTCTCTCCGTCGCGTGGCCACCACACTTTGGCTGCTCAGCCATCTTTTTCTTCTTCTTTTTCTTTTCTTTTTCCGCGAAATATCTCGCAACGAGGCGAGTCAACTCAACGAAGGTAAATTATCTCACCTCGGCCGAGAGGCAGACCTTGAGGTACGAGCGAGCATTTGAGAGGGAGGGGAATCGACTCGGGCAGTTTCTTCTCAAGTTGCGCGCCGACACCGCGATAAATTAAGAGGATTCTTTCTCTTTTTCCTTTCTTTTCTCTCTCGCGAGCGTTTTCAATTCTCAAGGAGCAAGTGAGAACATTAACTGTTCGTTACATCGTCGAGTATTTATTATTAGGTGAGATTTGAAAACTTTGGATTTTTTTTATCACGTATTCTTCTTCTTCTTCTTCTTCTTCTTTTTCATCGTCATAGTCGTTTATTCCATTTTTCTTGGTGAAAATTTTTAAATTTTCTCTCGTTTTTTTTTTAAGATTCGAGCAATAAAAACTGTAAATAGGAAAAGAAGGTTTCTTTCATTTTTGACGAGGGAAATTCAGGTCACAAAGGGTTAACGATCTTCCTCCGTTGCCCGATACGAGAGAACTTCCAACTTTATTGACCTATTCATTTCTGCACGGTTGTTGTTTTTTTCTTTTTTTTTTTTTTTTTTTCTTTTTTTGTTGAGAAACTTCAGTTTATTACGTTTACTTCTTAATAAAAGTAACGAGTTGAAAACGTAATTTGATCGCAGCGGGTTTTATTTCGCTATATAGAAAAAAAAAAAAGGACAGAATTTGAAAAAAATGGTGGAACCAGTGAAACCGTATCTCGAAATTAAAAACCTCTGAACAAGAGTTATTTTCATAGGTTTCAAGTCTCTCAAAAATGAATTTATATATTGGAGATAAAGAAGAAATTTCGATCAATTTAAGAAAAAAAAAAAAAAAAAAAAAAGAAGAAATTTATTATCGTGGAAAAAAGTTCACTGTTCGAGATATATCAGAAACTGATCGCGTATTACGTAAGGCAGGCGTCGTGATAGGAATCTCTCAACTTCCGGTTCGCTTATTCCGCGGCGGAGGGAAACATACCTATAAGTTGCCGTTAACGAAAGGTATCCTGTTACAGTTGCCTGAATAGAGCGGATTTAATCAGAGTGCACGACGGTACGGATTCAGGGGCTGCCACAATAGCTATGCTGTGCAACCAAGGAGCGGAAGTGGAAGTGCTCAGCACAGGGTCGGACCTGTACGTCGAGTTCGTCGCTAATTCCGAGTGGCCGGGCCAGGGTTTCAAGGCGATGTTCCAATTCCAGCCATTCGACGATGCACCGCATCCCGGTGGGTAACGAACGACATCCCGATCATATTATGAAAATCCGCCGATATATATATATATAAACTCCTCCCTCCCTCTTTCCCCCTTTCTTGCTCGATTAACGATTAAGTCGAAATCTTGGAAGGAGGTATCGGAGTATTCGAAAATGCAATCGCGGAATTGCGGTCACCGCTCTTCCTTCGAACCAGTTCCCAAATTCATCATTTTTCATCCCACGATTTCCTCGATCGGGTTTAATCGAGCATCACTCACTCGCGTTTAAATTCCCGATCATGTCCTTCTGATCCTGTCGTCCACGATTATTCGAGAAAGTTTCTCCAAAGTTTGTCGGAGAATAATATCAAGTATGTTTGCGGTTTGATAAATGGTTGAAAGTGATAAATAGTGGTAACTTCCTCTCTCTCTCTCTCTCTCGTGATCACGAACGAAAGAACATAGCTATTTTTTCAGTTGCGTTAAGTGTTTGCACAAGTTTGTTTTTCTGGAATCGAAGGTATATAATTCTTCCTGTTCTTTAAATTCCTTTTTCCCCAATAATTTATGATCTATATACTTTTACAAAAAAGATAAATTGTTAAACAACGCCTCTCCTTACACGTTCTGCACGCTCTGTGGTCGGTAGCGTAGATTCGCAAGCTCGACGTAAGAGAACGCGGAGAAGCTCCGGAAGCGCCTCTAAGCAGAGCTCGCGCGAAGCTTTCCAAGTTGGCGCTGTCGATAAAACAGAACTCGAAGCGTGTTTCCAACACACCGTAAAACCGGTGGATCGACTCCTTCCGTTTTTCCACTTATCCACGCGATCGTTGTCACTCCCTTTCGATAATTTCCATAAGCTCCGTAACGAAACGAAGCACCGTTGTACCAACGAAGCACCACTCTCGCAATGGTTGGAAACGTGTTGGAACGAACGTGTTATCACGCGCGACGGCACGAATTTGCATTAATTCGTTATTACGCGGACGATAACATTTGTATCCCTTGTTGATTCAGCCTCCTTAAGCGTTTCTGGCCCTGTTAATCAAATTAATTAACGACCTTCCCCCCCCCTCCTCTCTCTCTCTCGCACTCGATCATCATGAAGTAATTTTGCTGATTCGAAAACGAAAACTGATTCTCATTTTATCAGAATATCGGACGAACGAAAAAAAGACGAACGATAGATTGGCCAACGATAGAAGTGTAAGGATGATTCGCGTGGTTGATTATTTATGAGGTAATAAATCACGAATGGGGACCGTTTGCTAAGGTAGATTGGCCGTGTTCCATTCGCATACGCGACTCCCAACTGTAATTAACGGCACTGTATATTCCGAGGATAATTACAATAATGTATTTCAGAGGCGGACAAGGTCGTCCCAGGGGCCGTTACCGGTAACCCCAAGTACTCGGTCATCGGACCGGCTGTCAGCGCTACCAGTAAGTATTATATCACTCTCTGTCCTCGATTTATTATCCCTCTCAATCGATAATCACACTAATCCGTCCCATCTCTATCGTAAGCTACAGTTTTCTTTTCTTTTCTTTTTTTTTTTCTTTTTCCACTTTGCAAGTGATCGGTGAACACACTTTGTACACATCGTGAATACGATGGAAGAACAAACTTTCGGGCGCGAAGTTAAATCTAAAGTTTTAACGGTCGAAAAATTAATTTTTTTAAAAAAATTTGGACATGCATTGCATTGAGAGGGAATTAATTATTTTTTCGACGAGTTAAACGTCACGTTGATATGTAGATGATAGGCAATGACTTTTATTTTGCGAATTTGGCAAATTGTACTCGTTTAATCGTTGTTGCTAAAAGCAAGGTAAGTGTAATACAAATACATGGATCGTGTTGCTTGGGTAGTCGTAAGTTACCTGTAAGTAGCCAGTGTAGTAGATAAATTATAAACTTTATTTCAGTTAATGTAATTCTCGTGTCCTTAAAACTGCACGCTCTTTGAATTCAAACTTGCTTTATATCCTTCACCATCCACCAATGTGTTAGATACTGAAAGTTTTAATAGTGGAAATCTGGAAAGCAGTTCAGCAGAAAATCAGCTATCACCGAGAGAAATGTGTCTTGTAAAGTTAAACGATCCAGAACATTCTACCGATCCAAAATTTCTCCCTCTCTCGCGATACAATTAAATCGAGAATTGCATCAATCGTTACTGTTCATAAACTAAACGTCCATAATGTATGAAAATTCAAAATTCCTGTGCAATCGTCAAATTAATTGCGCAAATAAAAACGAAAGAGGGAGAGAGTGCGCCAATTAAATTATCCAATTTCAAGATACGCTCGAGAATAATTGACTTGAAACATCATCGATCTCGAAAAGTATTGCGTCTCGTGCGATTCAATTTACCCGAAATCAAAAAATTCCCTTCTCGTTCTTGTGTTATTACGAATTATTCCCATATCTCACGATCGATACGCGAACGAATTCCTCTCGAACTCGTTCATATAACATATAACTTGGCTAGGCGAGTTGCATAAACTTGGCGAGTTGTACTTTCAGAGTCATCAGCCGCGCGTCCTGAAAGCTCGAAGAAGGACGAACTTTATATCTTTTTCATGAAAACTACTAGCTCCCCCGGCTTATGAGGCGAAGCACTAAACTAAATTATTCGGTTGACAAGTACAAGGTGATCCGGCCTTTGTACACGAGTCCAACCCCTCCCCCCCGCTTTGACGTTTTCGCATCGATATTCGCGCCGATATTTCCTTTCTACGAGCGTCACACTTCGTTTTGTCTCGTCCCCTTCGAGCGGGCGAAAGATAAAGAAACGCGAAACAAATTGTTTTCAAACTCCGTCGAATTTTTTTCCACTCTACTTTCCTTCTTCCAATTTTACTCGTAACTCGTTTTAATTACCTTGCTACAATTATTTCCGATTATTATTACTTCCTTCAACTCTATTCGCAGCTTTGTTAAATTTTCTCCATCATTGACGGAACGATAAAATCATTTCACCTCGGATCGATTATTACTTTGAAAACGATACGAATTTTAATTTCACCCGCGTCTCGATTGTATCGCGATGTATCGTATATCGCGTACATTCCGTACAATTACCAAACTTGGACCGTCCTTTAATTGATCTCGATTAATCCGGGCGGGCAAATAATTCCAATATCCGGCATAACTTTAATCTCAATTTCTACCCTTGTCCCAAAGGGCAGCTGTGTTTACTGTACCGCAAATCTATTCCCCGCGATAGAGCGAGCGCAAAGCCTCGGTCGGTAGTAGCGGTAACGCCTTTATCAGCGCGACAGTATCCCGAACCGCGCCGAAGGACTTTAGATCGCAAGTTTCCGTGCGAACCGCCTTCTTACCGACCCCCTTTCCTAACCTCTCTTCCAACGATACTTACGGTTTAACCGTAAAACAAGATACGTGACGTATCCTCTTATGCGCCTACTTTCGTATGCCGTACACCCAGCGGTAAGTGCTCTAAATTATCCGACCACCTGCAGCGACCCAGCTGGATGCACGGGAGGAAGGAAGGAAGGAAGGAAGGAAGGAAGGAACGAGTGGGCGGCGACCGATGAATCCCCTCTCTCTCTATCTATCTATCTGTTTCTTTCTCTTCTCGGAGGAAAATTTGTATGCGCCGCGGAAAGGGAAATGCGTGAGAATCGAGAGAAACTGGTGTTCGTTAGTGTTGAGGTTGGGTTAGGTTGGGTTCCCTTTCAGTTTTTTTCGCGTACTGTATTATCGCGTACGATCTCTCGTCGAAGGAGAAATATCGTACGATGATGGACGACGAAATTGGTCTTGGAAGAAATCGTAGATATGAAAGATCACCGAGCTATTGAATTTCTTCTTTCCCTTTTCTTCCCGTTATGGCGCGCCATCGTTTCGAAAGGGTTTCGGGAGGCAAACTTGGAAGCGTTTTATAAATTGAAAAGGGGATGTTTGAGGAATATCGGTCGCCTTTCATTTTTTTTTTCTTCCTTCCCCCCCCTTTTTTTGTCATAACTATCGTATCGAATCTATCGGAAACGATCGACGATTTCATAATTGGAAGAATTCTCGTTTCGAAATTCTGTTTTATATTTGTTCGAAAAATATCGCGCGCCTTTCGTTTCTTTTTTCTTTTTCTTTTTTTTTTTTTTTTTACAACTATCGCTACTAGAAACGGAGAAATTTTCGTTCCTTTCGAAATGCGTTCTATATATCGTTACACGAGAGAGAGAGAGAGAGAGAGAGAGAACGTGAAAATTGTACAAGAAATTTTTGTACAACGATTCGAACGAGATTATGATGGCAGAAGATTGGTTTCCTGGGTTTTCATATTTTTTTTTCAAAGATTCAAAATAAAGGAAAAATTGAACGTACAGAGCCTACGTGCCTCAAGACGTATTAGAGAAAAAAACGCTACATTTCTTCGATTCTTTCTTCAGCCGTGTTTTTCTCGAATACTTTCGGTGGAGCGAATTAGAAGAATGTATAATAAGAAGAATATGTTTAAAACTTGCTCCAATTAACATTTCGCATAGAAACTTTTTAATCCTCCTTAAAAATTTCAACGCTTGAAAAAAGTGTTCAACTCCTTGAATAATTAGCAACATCTCGAGTCTAAATTCAGTTTAAAACAGAGAAAGAAAACAAAAATTGAGAACGCCTAATTCTTTCCATGGCCTTTTAACCGAACAAAGTGATCGCAGACAAAATTAATTACGCCGATAAACAGAGAACGGGTTGTTCTATCGGGGTGGAAGTTGGCCGGCCAAGTTTTCCAATTTTCTCGCGCGCAAAGGATGGATTTCATTCGCGACGCGATATCATTCCGCGTCTGGAGATCGGTTTACTACAGTCTCCATATACATATATATATATATGTACGAAACGTGCATTGTGTTTTGCCCTGCCCCGTGTCGAGTGAAACGAATAAGCGATAAATAACCCCGTGGACGCCGGTAAAATGCTCTGCTAAACGTATATACGCATTACGCTGTCCCAGAAATAACGTATCTGGCAGATAATGCGGAACAGGAGACGGTAAATTCTGGTGACGTTTTACTCGAGAGGGGAGTATCGAGGCGAGAGAAAGAAAGGGGAGTAAGACGAGGGATGATGGATCGAAATTTCGCAATTTTCTCTCTCTCTCTCTCTCTCTCTCTAGAGGGAGGGAGAGAGGGAGAGTCTGACCCCTACCTCAATCCGGGACTGCATATGCTCCCAGGTAGGATGTCAACTTCTCCCCGACGGTGTAACTTTGTTTCCCGGCTTATTTTACGCCTGGCTCGAGGAGCTTGCTTCCTCGTTCCAGTTGATAAAAAGTTTCGTTATTGGATGATACGAGCCTCATATAAGTTTGCCCCGAAACTAATCAACGTGCATTTTTCATCAACGCGATCCCTCTCCTCAGCTTGGTTAAACGTTGGCAGATTGAGAATTTATCGGGCGACGTTGGAGAATGTTCCTTTTCCTTCGTGAAACTCGATATTTCTTCTACGACTCTTATATACTCGTCAACGAGTATTCTATTTTTAACAGTATCCCCAGCTCGGCGAATTTCTTAGCTAACTTAAAATGATATCACAGCGCGTGTAAAACTTGCGTATTTCAATATTCTAGTTTGCGTATATGTAAAGAAAGAAAATTTGTTTCGCGCGATATTTTCCTTCTCTCTCTCTCTCCTCAATTTCTTAATAGATAATCAAACTCATCTTCTGATCTAATAATTAAGATAATGAAAAATCTAACTATTCGATGTAACGTATTATTCCACTTATAAGATTACACGCAAACAGCTTAGCAATCTGTAAGTCGTGATGCTTTAAAAATAAATGTCGTCATCGAGTGTCGTACGAGAGCCACCTTTGGAGCGCGAGTCAAGTTAAATTTCTCGCGGACGATTGGTGCACTTCGTTCGAGTATAACGCCATCTGCCCGCGAATCAACGATATTAATTCGTTTCGTCGCGTTCAAAGTTGCACCGACTATCGGGATCAACACACACGAGTGGACTGTACGGACGCGGATCAGGTTTATAGATCGTGTATAATGCATAGGGAGAGGCGCTATAAACCGCGTCGGATGCAGAATAATCCACTTGAAACGAAACGGGCACACCGTGATAAAGTGGGCGTTAAAGCGGCGGCTGAAAAAAATCGGTACAAGCAGCCTATTACAACAACGCGCTTGTCCGGCAAATGGCCTTCCTCCTCCCTTTTCGAGGAGAGGAAAAAAAGTTTACGTATCATCCATCGGGCGGGCCTCATTTCGTTATTCATTCTTCGTCGACCACGACTATTATATATATATATATATATATGTATTTGAAATAACAACTTGTTTCCTTGTGGCCGAAACGAAAGGGTAGTTTTTCTTTTTTTTTTTTTTTCGAGGAGGAAGGGAAAATTGAACGGCATCGAAAGGGGGAGGGGGGAGAGAGGAGGTATCCCGTTTCAGAAAGGTTTCG